ATTATTGTAGAGTGTAAACAACTTGTTGAAACATTGAAAAGAATTCTTCTTTATTTTTACTTTTAATTTTACGTTATTTATATTTTTTTGTGAAAAATATTTTGTCATCTTTAACGAATAATATCGCTAAAATAGACATAAGCAGTTATTATTAATTTTGTGGGTTTCACTATAGACATTCACCTAAACATAATTATAAAGAAGCTTTAAACTTTAATCTTTAAGGAATATATTAATTGTAGTAACCACTTCACAAAAAATTGTAATACAGACCTGTCGTACTGATGAAAGGTCACCTCTGATGAACAGAATCACATAAATTACAAAATTTAATTCGCAGAAACTGAATATGTGGTTAGACAACCCAACATACTCTGGTGAAAGTTAAGACAACCATATGTAAATTAAACATATTCCTCAAAATAGAAAGTGAATATTACTGATTTATGAATTTACCAATAATTTCTAATTAAACAGATTAATTTACATACATTCTAAGAAATTTGTTTAAGTATTCTATTTACATTGCTAGTCCCAAAGTAATCAAATGACCAATATTTCATTTAACATTTGTATAAATGTTCTAAATTCTGATACTTTTTACTCTATTATTGTGATACCTAAGTTGTAAATTACTATGCATAAAATTTGTAAAAGAATTTTGCCTGTATACATTCATAAATCAGTCAATTAATCACTTTGCCTTTCATTAAAGTCTAATTGATTTTAATTATTGTTATCACTTACCCTTCTAGTTGTTTTATCCCCTGGTGCACTCAAGACATTGCCAATTCAATCTTGTTGATCCTTCCTCTATTGAATGATACCACATTGTCCGTTTCTACTACATCAAAAGGCCCTTTCTTGCTGCTTGTTCTTCTTTTTGAGACACTGCAGAAGTGAAAGAGGACTGATGAGATCAATGCCTGATGACATCCAATGTGCAGTACCCCAAATTTGTGTAAAGTTCCTGCAAAATGCTTCGTTATATAGTCTGTACAGTAGAGAACAAATTAAAATGCTAAAAAGTAAGAAATGCCAAGAGCCACAAAAGTTGTTATTACAAATGAACTTTCAGACACCAGACACACTTGCAGGTAATTTAAATAAATCGCATTGAGACCTTTTAGGTTAGAAACAAAAAACTGTAACCAATTTTTCAACCACCATCACCACATCAAGAAATTATTATCACAATTAACTTAAAAAAATTGCTTCTGACTTTTAATCATCAATATTTCTATTTTTTACAAAATATACTTGTGTATTTTTTAATAAAGAGAATAATTCACCTGCATAATACCTCTATCAACCACATACATATTTTCACCATAGACTTCCACTCCTCCACAGATATCACATTCATCACAGATAGCATGTTCATTGATATATAGATAACATAGGTATTCATTGATATGCTGACAGTTAATACACATATCTACATCTGTTAATTAATAAAAATTATTGAAAAACTTTTGAATTAATATAACTGTTAATTAAACAGTCTAAATAGTAATCGAACAAACGATACTAAAACGTAAAATGTTAAAATTCGAAAAGCTGTGGCCAACATGTGAAGCTTATCTATGTGTCTATGGATATACGGTTGAAAGATGTCTATAGGAAGAACCGTTGGTTGTCTATGGGAAGAACTTATGGAAGAAGTACAAACAGAAATAGCGAAGTATGAGGTTAATGTTTTTGTGAATTATTTTTCATCGTAAAATAATCCTGAATTAAAAGTGTAGTCATATTATTTGTGTGAAATAGGGTTTGCTATACGAACAGCAGATATTTCCAATAAAGACATTTTGCGGATTTCATTTATCCATTGTGTGTAACTGTTGTAGCTGTAGTTTATTTGGTTGCTTATAAGCTGAGCAGAATGGTGGACGTTTTAAAGAAATGTAAGCATAAACTAATGTAAAATACTTATTTTATTAACATAGAAATGTTCTGTAGCTCCTTTCAAAACAGGAGAAAAAGAGAATGGAACTGAACCTACTGCACCCATTACAAAAAAAGGCATCTTGACATCATTTCAATCTGGAAAGCCAATGTCTATACCAGACAATGATGTTGTATGTAATTGTATATAATAATTATTTTGTCATTGATTAATGAATTTAACAGGTAGAATATTTGTTTTAGTTGGGCAGATGCAGGTTTGTCTCTGATTTTGAAAAACTGAACCGTATTGGTGAAGGAACTTATGGAATTGTATGTAAGTTATTAAGTTCAACAATGGGTTTCACTTTAGTGTTAATCTCTATTTTAACTACAGATAGAGCAAAAGATACGACTTCTGACAAAATTGTTGCTCTCAAAAAAGTCCGCATGGACCTTGAAAGGGATGGTATTCCTGTCAGCAGCTTAAGAGAAATTCAGGTATTACTTAGTTGTCGTCATGAGAATATTGTCCATTTGAAAGAAGTCGCAGTGGGGCGTAGTTTAGAGAGGTACATGCTTTGTTTCCATTCAATTAACCTATTAAATTAATTGAAAGTTTAAGTATTTTCTTGGTAATGGAATATTGCGAGCAAGATTTGGCTTCACTACTGGACAATATGCAAACCCCATTCACAGAATCCCAAGTAAAGTGTATTATGATTCAAGTTCTTAGAGGATTAAGGTATCTCCACTACAATTTCATAGTTCATAGAGACTTGAAGGTGTCTAATTTACTTATGACAGACAAAGGATGTGTAAAAATTGGTAAATTTATTTATGTATTTGTTATACAATAGCAAAAGCTAAATAAAAAGATAACTTTTCAGCATATAACATAATAGTAATTAACTAAAAGTAGTCCAAATTATGAGAATTTTCCTTTATTAAGTGCTTGTTGTTAATTTAATTAACTTATTATAGCTGATTTTGGTTTGGCAAGGTGGTTTGGTGTCCCATTGAAACCTATGACACCCCATGTAGTAACATTATGGTACAGGGCACCAGAATTATTGCTGCAGGCTCCAACTCAGACTACCAGTGTGGACATGTGGGCTGCAGGATGTATATTAGGTGAACTCTTAGGTCACAAACCTTTATTACCTGGCAGATCTGAAATACAGCAATTGGAACTCATTGTGGACCTTCTGGGTAAGAGACAAGCTCTTTCTTTAATTGTCACTTTTAATATTAAAAGGTGCTTATTTACAATTGTTTGTTAAGGTACACCATCTGATGCTATCTGGCCAGGATTTAGTAAACTTCCAGCATTACAAAACTTCACTTTGAAACAACAGCCTTATAACAACTTGAAACAACGGTTTCCTTGGCTATCAGCAGCTGGTCTAAGACTGCTAAACTTCCTCTTCATGTACGATCCAAGGAAGAGGGCAACAGCTGAAGAGTGTTTGCAGAGCAGCTACTTCAAAGAAGCCCCAACACGTATGCTCTTGGTTTTTGTATTTCTCATTGTTTGTGTCATTTAGATTAATGCAATAATGAATTTACCTAACATTTCATTATTACACACCTTAAACAGATTTTAGAAATGCAGGACTAACAATGCACGGGGACACTTGGTGAATAATTGCCACGATGCGTGTTGTTGCAATCTCTTAGTGAGACTTTTAATATTTGTTTTTCTTTTAATTTTAGCGTGTGATCCAAAACTTATGCCTACATTCCCACAACACAGAAATATTAAAAGTGGTGGTAAATCATCAATAAATGACTCCAACGTAAATACCGGAGCTGGAGACCAAACCAACAATCTTCCAGCTATTTCTGATCTGGTAAGAAACATTTGTATTAAATAATTTTAATATGTCATTGTAATTATTTTATTCTTTAATTATTCTCATCTTTATTTCAGTTGGGGTCACTTGTAAAGAAGCGAAGAGTAGAATAAGTGTTCAAAGCTTGATTATATACAAGCTATTTTGGTTCTGCGTCATTTATTCCATTTTTTGACATTGTGTTTCTTATAAAATACACTGCATTATTATTTAGTCTTCTTTTATTTTATCCAACCTGTGTATTTTCTTTTTAAATTAGCTACGTGATTCAGTTTGTCCATTTAGAAGTACAGCAGAGCACAGGTAATCTGGATGCCCCAGTAATTCAGACAGTGAAATATTAACTTTTTTTACTATGTATTCCATAATCCAGATCATGCGTTCCTTAGCTTGTGGTGCACTCCTCGCTTTAGCCTCGTGCAATTCGGGAAATCCCGAAACGTTATAATAAATTCATAGCACCAGGGACCGCACAAAACGTTAACTCCGGCAAAACTAAAAAGTAGTGATAGTAGAAGAATGTTACCTGACGAGTATCGGGTCGGTAAGTCGACAATTTCAGATATTAACCGTTGCAGATTACTATAAAACTCACGCTATGTATTTTTTGACCATTTTAAAGAGGTCCCACTATAATTCGCATTTACTGCATTTACAATTTTAACGCAAGCTTTAAAGTTTTTTTCTTATACCTAGTAAATGATTAAAACTTTACAAACCGTGTTAATTTTACCAGCGGTTCTTCTATCATCTTGCCCCCTTGCCTGTTGGCAGACGAAGTCCTTGTCTTAGTAGTCATTATAATGGATGTTCCATACACTGTTGTTGAAACCTAAATATGTAGCTGTATTTTGAATATGAATTCGAAAATATACAATTAAAAGGAAATTTATTTTACAAAATATATGCAATAAAAACACCGAATAACATTTAATGTTATTTTATGAGTTTATTGGATTTGTGGTTTTCAGGATTCATCATTCCTTAAATTTTATAAAAATTTGAAAACGAACATTTTGAATTTGGATGTAATACTTAAAATAATGGTTATGTGGTTTTTGGGGCAACAGTTAGAAAAAAAAAATAGCAACTGATAATGAGGTTTTGTATTGAATGTCCTATTCTAGAAACGGTGTTACGAACAATTCTACTTACAAAGACATTAACATCTATCTTCTAATCGATTTATTTATATATGTATACTCATTCATTAACTCTCTAAAATCATACAGAAACGCAGATTTACAGTGCTGCTGTCGAATGTACATAGTCGTGACTGGTAAAAATGACGACGACAATAAAAAAAAATTAGGGGGGCCTTCGTCAGGTCATTTCTCTATTTTCTTTTTTTGTTGTGACCGAAACCGGCTGTTCTTTGCTTATTTTATTATTATTCAATTTACACCTCGACAAAAAATTAATTACAGACATACACATTGCACTTATTCCAAAAAACGTAAACATAGAAAATTAACCTATGCAGTCACAGTTTTTTCCATCATAGGGCCGCGCCCCCCCCGAAAGTTTCACAAGAAAAGTAAGACTTATGGCACATAATCGTAACGGAGGAAAGGCGCAAAATACTATAAGAAAAAGTGGCGTTCTTCTTTCGAGGGGTACCGACCGCATTGAACTGTCTCATTGAATCTTCCAACAATTCAAAATGGTCTGAATTCTACTTTTTCTTATAAAGATTTCAAAATTTGATATATGAATACACCGCATAATTTATTTCGATAAGGCAAGGTGGTTTGGTGTCCCATTGAAACCTATGACACCCCATGTAGTAACATTATGGTACAGGGCACCAGAATTATTGCTGCAGGCTCCAACTCAGACTACCAGTGTGGACATGTGGGCTGCAGGATGTATATTAGGTGAACTCTTAGGTCACAAACCTTTATTACCTGGCAGATCTGAAATACAGCAATTGGAACTCATTGTGGACCTTCTGGGTAAGAGACAAGCTCTTTCTTTAATTGTCACTTTTAATATTAAAAGGTGCTTATTTACAATTGTTTGTTAAGGTACACCATCTGATGCTATCTGGCCAGGATTTAGTAAACTTCCAGCATTACAAAACTTCACTTTGAAACAACAGCCTTATAACAACTTGAAACAACGGTTTCCTTGGCTATCAGCAGCTGGTCTAAGACTGCTAAACTTCCTCTTCATGTACGATCCAAGGAAGAGGGCAACAGCTGAAGAGTGTTTGCAGAGCAGCTACTTCAAAGAAGCCCCAACACGTATGCTCTTGGTTTTTGTATTTCTCATTGTTTGTGTCATTTAGATTAATGCAATAATGAATTTACCTAACATTTCATTATTACACACCTTAAACAGATTTTAGAAATGCAGGACTAACAATGCACGGGGACACTTGGTGAATAATTGCCACGATGCGTGTTGTTGCAATCTCTTAGTGAGACTTTTAATATTTGTTTTTCTTTTAATTTTAGCGTGTGATCCAAAACTTATGCCTACATTCCCACAACACAGAAATATTAAAAGTGGTGGTAAATCATCAATAAATGACTCCAACGTAAATACCGGAGCTGGAGACCAAACCAACAATCTTCCAGCTATTTCTGATCTGGTAAGAAACATTTGTATTAAATAATTTTAATATGTCATTGTAATTATTTTATTCTTTAATTATTCTCATCTTTATTTCAGTTGGGGTCACTTGTANTATTTAAATTGTTATCTAAATTTTTTTATAAATCTTCATTCTTATGAAAAACTCTCGAAATTCTTTTGTTACGTTTGTATGTGTCATTCAGCGAATGATTTATGACCAATTCAGCATAGTTACAAAGGGCATCGCTGCTTGTATAGTATGTGTAGGTATGCGTCAGGTGTGTGATAATTTATAGATTGATTTTCTTCTCGGTACTAGTGGCTCATTGAACTCTAAGTTTTCCCAAAGAAAAGCATGAAAAAGAATACATCACACTTTAGTGTAAATCTTGCTGTTCACGAAATACAGACGAAAATGTCTAGCCAAGTGTTCTTTCTATTTTCCAGGCTTTTCACATAGAAAATTGAACTGAAAAGTCCAATGAGCCACAAATGTGCCCCCATTCGACCAGAGTTCTTCCCACATGTACTTGCGACAATTAAATCTGTTTGAGAGAAAATAAAAAGAAAAAACAAATTTTTGGTCAAGTTAAAGCAAAATTACTTTGAAAGACTAATAAACTACGATAAAGATAAAAAATCAAGTAATAATGACTAGTGAATATAAAATCGAAAATTAAACTACTAAAATACTAATAATAATAAAAACGGGGCTACGTAACACTTATCATGGATCTCGTTGGGTCCGTTGTGTCGTTGTTATCAGGAGGTTCTGTTTTGATACACTGCCCGGTCAACTGGTTNAAGATAAAAAATCAAGTAATAATGACTAGTGAATATAAAATCGAAAATTAAACTACTAAAATACTAATAATAATAAAAACTATATTACTGGTAGTTTTTTGTAACATGCTTTGAGGACTGTAACTGGTAAGCAAATTAGTGAAAAGTTTGGACTACATAGAACGTACTAAAAATAAAATAAAATAAAACGGATCATGCAAAACGTAATAAATAATAATACCACACAGTGTGGGAGGGAGAAAAGACGGAAAAAATTATAAAAATGCCCCGAGACAGCGAAAACAACGTGCATACGAAGTGTCTCCACAACAGTGTGTGATTGGGGAGGCCGGCCAGACTGTTTGTGTATGTGAAAATAGTTTTAGATAATTATTACTATATTAACAGTGTGATGATGATAATAATAATAATAATAATAAAAATGTAGCAGATATATAAATATATATAACCCCCAACCAAACATGCAAATATAATATAATAGGGAGACAGATTAATAAACCTCACAGCTTACTAAATTCACCCTCCGTCACATTCGAAATGTTGATTTAAAATTATTACTTATAAAAAGTACCAAAAAAATTACAAAATTTCTATGCCAAAAATGAAAAAAAAAATGCAGCAATTTAGGGAGGGACGGCTGGGCAACGCCAGGAGTATACAAAAATATTGCAATGTGATAAATAGGTACTAAAATAGTGATGATGAGATTGGTGATTGGTATGCATGAAAAGATTTAGTAAGCTGTGAGTGTGGTGCGGGTTGCTACCTCCGTCGTTGGGGTCTTGCTTGCGTTTCCTCTTCTTGCCGCGAGAGGTCGCGTTGGCCCGTGAAGACCAATCGGGGTAGAGCTGCATGTGCAGCTGTCGTTCACGGCGCGCCAACTCATAGTACTTGGCCTGCTCCTCGCGACCCAGAGCGTGCCACTAAACAAAACAAAGTCAAAAACAGTGCACCACCCCATCGGCAGGCACCAAGAAGCCGCGCTTCGCTTGTTTTTCTTTTTTATTTATTTTTTTTTTTTGGCAGTGGTAGTAGTTTTACGATAGCAATCTTCGTCGTCTGCGACCTGGCCGACCCCTTCGCGCACCCTTCCGACTCAAACCCACCCCACCCACACCACACCCGGGCCCTTCTTTTGTCTCTTCAACTACGTCTTTTTATTGTAATTTTGCCTCTATTTGAAATTTTTAATGGCGCGTATGCACGTATTTCTGATTCTTCAACACCTTGACTGCATTGTATTTTTTCCTTTTTTTATACTTATTGAAAGTGCTGTCTTGAAAATATTTCACATTTTTTACGGTGGTCTATTTATTTTGCGACCTACTGTACATACCGTTCTTCCTTAATACCTATTGCTTTCGTTTTTATTCAATTACTGTAAAGTAAAGAAAAAAAAACACCTCGAAAGACGACGAATTAGAAAATAGAAAATTTGAATTTCATATATAAAAAAAAAATACTCCTTTATATATGATTTTCATTAAAATTTTAAATTAGTAATTTTATTAATAATGAATTTTTTACAATTAAACGGCAACAACCAAAGATGAAAATAGCCCAAAATGATCTTTTCTGAATACAATGATTATGAACGAATAATGGAACCCCCAAAACACAGCACAATATACAGCTAGTCACAAAAAAAAACATGACGTTAGAGCAGTCAAAGTGTTAAATAGAAAAAAGGCCACACACACCTGGGAGACGTTAGTGTCTATTCACAAAAAAATAAAACCAATGTATGTGGTTAGTCCCGGGGCATAGAGAGTTGTTATTTAATATATAATTATTACTTAATACATAGCAGCAATAAAAAGTGATGACCAGTCAGAGTAGCAGAGCATGTTACAAGATGAGCTTAAACTGTTCCCACCGTCATTTTAGAAAACTGAAACGTCTTTATATTTCCACGTAATGGTAGACCGATAAATAAATAAATAACAAACTAAAAAATAAACGAAAATTTTTCAACTGTTATAGGTCTACCAATCATTTGTTCGAAAATTTAACGACAATTAAAACAAAAGACATGAAAAAAATTAAAAAAAAAAAAAAGAAAGTGGGGGTGGGAACGGTTTTTGTGATATTATGTTAGGGTGCGGTCGCGTACCTCCCGCTTCGACGGATGTGCGCTCTTTCTTTCGCTTCTTCTTCTTGGTGCCATAACCGTAATTGTCCCGCGCGCTCCAGCCCGGGTACAGTTGCATGTGCAGTTGGCGCTCCTGCCGAGCCTTCTCGTAATACTTGGCCTGCTCCTCGCGGCTTAGCGAGTGCCACTGCACACAACACAATCGTCAATCATAATCGTCACATCACTCTATCGAGTGATCCGTCCGTTTTTTTTTTTTTGTTTTTTTGTTTTATCAACTTTTTTTAACGAACAAACCAATCTCACAATCCATACACACACACATCAGAAACAATAGAAAATCACATCAGAAAAAGTAGTTATATACTATCATTCTATATAAGTAGATATACAAGGTAGTCACTTACTCAAGAAACAGATGATAGCTATTGTTTATATTATCTTTCTATAATAGGAATCGTTTACAAATCAAAATTTCGTCAATTGTTTCTACTTTTTCTGAAAATTGTTATTTTCCAACAGATTGAAAAAGCAAAAAAAGTTCATATTTTGAAATTGTTACTTCTCGAAACGTTTATTTAAATTATAAAGATGCAAAAAAGTTTTTTTAATCTGTTAAAAAATAATTATGTGAACATTTTCCCGTTTGCTACCAACGATGGACAGTAATGGAAAGAAAAAAATGAGTGTCCTTACCCTTCGTCCTAGAATTTGATTGATGGCCGCACTCTCTTTGAGGGTGCATTCTGCAACCACTTTAGCCCTCATTTCTTTCATATAAAGCATGAAGGCATTCAGTGGTTTCTTTATATGGGGTTTCTTCTTCTCCCCGGAATTATTACTGTCTTGACTATTCTTAGTATCACCAATGTTATTCTTTTGATCTATTTGATTCCTAAAACGAGAATTAACAAAAAATTAGCACCCCTAGAACATAAAATGGCCAGATTTACTAAACTACGTTATGTACATACGTCAGTTCGATACACATTTTTTTTTTTAATACTTATACCTACAAAAGAATACCAAGACATTATTAAAATCGTTCGTAAAATAAAAACAACTCTTTATTAAAATATTTTTTTTACAATAATACAGACATGTACATAAAAAATTAACCCTCCATGACACGCAAGGTGTGCTGTGACAGTAGAAAACTTTTTTTCTTTTGTTTAATAATCATTTATTTATTGAATTATTATTGGAAATGTAAACAATCAATCAAAAATGAATTATCCTTGTGATAGAGCGGTGGATAATTAATAGAAGATCACCGCCGGTTATGACACTTTGGGACGCCATGTTTTCTGTCAAAAAAAGGGGTGGCAAGTGGCTGATTTAGTCTCTAGATTTCCTCAATCTTGCGAGGATACAGCGAGAGAGTTTTAATATCTCCTAGGAAGGATAATTATCCTTAATCTCACTGGGACACGTAAAAAAAAAAACAGAATGACACACGAATTTCACAATCGTTTGTAAACCACTCATGACTCAAACTCAAACCTGTTTAGACGAACGAATTGGTTGTTTAGCCGGCGACGGTATACATCAATCGAACGAAAAACGGCGCATGTGCCCTTATCAGAATGTGTCATGGTGGGTCACGGTACAACATCAACAACAAATCGATAAACGACAATATTAAAACATGAAAAAAACAAAAGAAGTTTCGAAAATAAAACAAAATACATAACTTTCAACAATCGCAACACAGAAGAGGAAGACAAATACGAAAGTATTCAGAGGAATGAAATTGTCTCGTACCTATTATCGATACGGTTGTTATCGCTACCAAAATTAACCTCGTTTTTCGTGAAACAATCGTAGGGTCGTTCAACTTCGTTTTTTATTATCTTATCAATTCCCAGGAGCGGCTTCTCATCTTTGAAGACCTTCTTGTCCAGGAGATTGTTCAGAATGGAATTGTTACCGGGCGCGTTCGTCAAATTCGGCGACAACATATCGGGGATGTTCGGAAAGTTCGGAGGGACGAAGCCGCCCGCATACGGGAAACCGCCGCCGCTAAACATGGAGCTCATGTACCATGCGGTCAAAAATTTTTGTTCGGCCAACGAATTGATAACGGAATAAATATTTTCGGGCGTCTCCAAGTTCCGATTGTTCAGATAATCGTAAATGTTGTTCGACTTATAGACGGAATTCATTATGTTTGTCTTTAGCTCTCTCTCCTTCATTGCTTCCATGAACGAATTTTTATTGTAACTGTTTTTCGTTTCGCCCTTCATATTCAAATCGTTATTGCCGCCCTCGTTCGGGCTGGCATAAAAGTATTTTTTACGGAAGCTATTCAGATCATCAAAGTTGTTTTGATCACGACAGTTTTCAGGATGGTCATTGTTTCGTTTTTTAAGAGACAAGTCTTGCGGCTCGTCTTCGACTTTGTTCGCGACATCTTCCGGTTTTTCTTTGATATTGTTATTGATGTTATTATTGCTGTTATTATGTTTTGCGAGATAGTTATTGAGATCGTTTATGGAGGAAGGTGCCACTATGGCAACAGGACGTTTCTTAACTGTTAAATTTAAAGGCTCGTCGTTTGAATCCATCTTGCGGAATGACGTCACAACAAACGATAATTTCGAAAGGGGGTCAAAAATGTTAGAAGAGTGGGTGTTGTCGGTCAGTTGGCACACTGCGAATATGATGATATTATTATTATTGTTATTAGTTCCGTCTCGCGCGCCCCGCGCAATAATACTGTCAACATGTTATCAGGACAAAGATTCAACAAGTTTTTTATTCCGCCGTTCGCGGGGTAGAAAATCAATATGAATGGCTGAGGGTGTCCTTTGTCCCCGTGCGCCAGAAACAGACGGAAAACACGTGGTCGTCCTGATAAACAAATGCCGCACACATACGCGACCGCCGCACATTCATCCCCCCACACACACACACACACGTACGCGCCGCGTCCCTTCGTCGTCGGTCACACACGTACGTACGTACCCACACGCGTTTGTTTTGGCCGTCGCGTAGCGTCCGTCCGGCGTCGAGGAGCGAGCAGTAGGAGGCCCCGCTAAACAGTCGACCGTCAATTCTTTTGTTTCACCCACGACGACAACGACGACGACTGCCTAGACGAAGAAGAAGATCGGTCGACGGCGGCAATCAACAACGTACGACACAACAACTGATAATACGACGACTATTACGAGAAGGGTTTGGGACCGGGCGACTCTGGATCCCGTTTCGTCCCGTACAAATGAAAACGATCTCCGCCGCACCGCTCAGGGGATAATACGAGTTCAATTGATGCTAGATGGAGAGAGATGGAAACAGGAGAGGTAACGACGCGTTTGCAGAATTTTGATAGATGTGTACCAACGACGCCGCCGACGACGACGTCGACGGCGGCGTCGTTTTGCAGCAGCAGCAGACGCCGGGAGCAACGGAGCATTGCAACCAATAAATGCACTCGTATTGACTGCGCCAGGCTACTTGGGTTTATTACAAAAACAGCGACAACGATCGTCTAGATCGCTCGCTGGCTAGCGTAAGGACCAGGACGACGAAATGAGATAAATTTATACGTTATAAAGAGAGAGAGAGACAGACAGAGAAAAACACAGTATTACGTATATACGAAAATGATGCCAAACAGCAGGGATTTACTTTAAAATGTTTACTTGCAATTTATACAGGGTGGCTTCTATAACGATTATGTATATGACAAGATTTTTTGCCCAACTGCTTCAAGAATTAATCAGTGTGGGGTAGCTCTATATATATATATCTATTCCCTTTTGTCAACTAAAATAAAAAAAATTCGAGATCCACTCATCGCATTAACCTTCTCTGTTCCCATTTCACAAAAATGAACGCCCAACTGGTCTACAGTCTTTCATAAAAATAACAGGCACTTTACAAACCATCCTATTACCAAAACTAAACGAGATTGTCGCTCATTTATTCTCTAGTGTTTCATTCTTAATGCGATTAATATCATATTTGATTGGCGTAGAACAGTGTAGACCGACACCCCGTATATAAATTGATTTTGTGCAGAACAAAATGTTTTTTCCTTGTTTATAAATCCCAACGATAAATCCAAGTTTACTTAACCATTTTATATCAATAAATCAGTCCAACAACTTTTGATACAACGTATGCGTAATATAAAAACCGAGCTTTAGTAGATTAGATAGGTAACTAAAAAATTATGTACCTACTAATCTTAAATCATTAGCGAATTATACAAAACAAACCCAATCTTTTATTATTATCACCAATTAGTGTTTATTGTCCTGTTTCCGTCGCCCTTGATAATTTTCCGACTCTACCGAAATATTATTTAGAACTGTAGGCTCCCTCTGGCGAGTTTTCCCGCAACTATTCGAATTTTTCATCAAGGAAATGTAATTCCAGGTTCCCGAGGGTTGTCGGTTGACAGATAGCAGTTACAGGACTCTGTATTCTGACACGATCGCAATGGGTGAAACGACTAGTGGCGGCCTACCTACCCTCTGCCTGTTTAGAACCCCTGGCTAGTGATCAATATCGGGACCTACCCTTACGAACTAGCAGAGGGTGCTTGGTGATCCTATTTCGGCAAAATGAACGAAACAATGCGCTCAAATTTCAGGATAAATACATAAGTACTGGTTTCCGTAATTATGAAAGTTTCACGAACATAAGTAAATTAATTAACTAACAAAGAATAATTTCGCTTCCTGATACGTCTCTCTTTCTAATAAACTTGCGTAAGATAAAAAATCAAATCAAATCAAATGAACTAAATACAAAAATTAAAAGCAATCATATTTGTGTTTTTCTTTCTTTGTGACGTGTTTTACAAGAAATGTCAAACGGGGGTTTCCCTACAATCGGTAACAAACTTTCTGTGTATTTTTAATTTAATCTTTTTAAAATTGCATGACTTGTAACTAACGTACATAGCTGAGGGGTATCGGGCATGTGTTCTTGCCCTTTCGGGGTCGTTGGTACTTGCCCACCGTGATTATCACAATACGTTCCGTATTGATTAAGGTTTTAATACGTTAGAGAGTTGGGTATAGAAATAGAAAATGAACCAAGACACGCTAAAAAGGCGGGTGAATTAAAATGACACATACCATACACATGTCGTAGTTGTTCGCAAATACAGTATTATGCCACAGGGCACACGTGAACACGTACGTTTGTTTGTACGAGTGTGTGGGTACGGAGGTCACGCGAAAAATGCATTTCCACTCTTGTTCTTTACAAAAACAATTGCGTTCACGACACAAACAAACAAACAGGATACACGATACTACCACACCATAAACGATAATGACGACCGCGTCACACTTGTTTCAGTAATTTCCTTCTGCCTTCGAAACATTTCTTTTTCTTTTTAACGAATTCAGAACAGATTTAAGAAAGAAAGTAATAACAATAAGCGGAAATAGACTGACTCAAGGGGCTCAATCACTTTCGTCACCTTATCAGATCCTCCTCTACATGAACCAGAACACGAAAATTTGAATCGTTTTTTTTTTAATTTCCTAGGTACAAATTAAAACTGACTTGAACCACTGTAAAGCGCTAAATTTTGCGTCTCCAAATTTGGATATTGGTTAAAAAGTATTGAAAATTATAAATTATTTTCGTTAATTTTCCAAAAGCACATTTTCGGCAATACACAAGTCTCTTTGCGACACCCCGCCGCGTTTTTGTATAATACAAATTAAAATTGTCTTGAACCACTGTAAAGAGCGAAATTTTGCCATTTCAAATTTGGAAATTTGGTTAAAAAGGATGGGAAATTATGAATCATTTGTTGATTTTCCAAAAACAAATTTTCGTCAATACGTCTGTTTGCGACATTCTGCCGCATATTTCTATCATACAAACTAAAATTGCCTTGAACTACTGTAAATTTTGCGCTTCCAAATTTGGAAATTGCTTAAAAAGGATTAGAAATTATGAATCAATCTCGTTGATTTCTCAAAAGCACATTTTCGTCAAGGCACAAGTCTTTTTACGACACCCTGCTGAGCTCTTATAACATACAAATGAAAATTGGCTTGAACCATTGTAAAAAGCGAGATTTTGGTATTTACCAAGTTAACTAAAGGAGTTTCCCCATTCTCCTCTTTGCAGCATATACATATTGTGGTGTTTCGGTATAGCGACCTATGGTTATAACTACCGTACCCTATCAAGTATAAAGACTAACAGGGGAAAAATATTTAAGTCGACCAAAAATTGGTAAAAGATTGGTTACAGGATGAAGATAAAATAAAAAACGAATCCTATTTTCATATCAAATTCAAACATTTCGTAATTTGTTTAAATTCAGTTTGGTTACAAAGAAACAGTTACACGATTGACACACAAGCACATCATCCCTTACACAACTAGTTTGCATCTTGATGGGAGTTTCTAATTGAACCGACCCGACACACTGTGGTATAACGATGAGATAATAATTATAACGATGATGATTATGATGATGCATAACATAATCGGATATTGGAGGACGAAACGTACAAGAGAGACTGACCGGTGTGTTTGTGTGTCGAGTTAAGAGTTAGTGCAGTCGAGCGAGGAATGAGATCCTAGATTGGTTATCGTGGAAGAGGACAAGAATGACTACCCGTTTCGATGTATAATACTAGTGGCAGCCGAGTCGCCGGTCCACGGACGGGATTGCCGGCCATTGGAGAGACCAGGAATACACTGCGCCCCCGTTGCCCAGCAACGCAGCAACCCTATCATCGGACCCGACGACTACTCTCGCCTACGACGCCACCACCGATACATGGCATGTGTTTTAACATTACCAAAGACGTAAAGTGTATTTGAATCGCATTTTTGATTCACTCGCGAACAGGGAAAACATATACAAAATCAGCGGCGTATTTAGGGTTTCATCGCGATATTGATGTGTACACGTCTTTTTCGTTAATGTTTTGACTTAATTGGAGGGCTCTGATAGGAGCCGCATCTGTAGTTTTGTATAATTGAGAAACTCTATGTTGTACACTAAACTTCGCAACAACATTTTTGACCCACGATTCGTTCGACTATAATGGGTAAAAGTCGATGCGTTCAGATGAAAACGCAATTAAACTTATTGAGGATTCAGATACTTATAGTCCGTTTTGGAATACTGACGAGTGCTTCCATAATCGACAATTGTCTGAAGAAGTTGGCAAATCAAGTCCATGAAAACGTAGCCAACTTCTTATGTTTATTACCTACTAGGTCTCACCCCTGGTTTCGTTTACATGTCAAAGATCATCGAAGACCACATAAAACTAATTTTTTCTTTTCCTCAGGAATGGTATATTTTTCTGGATAAAAGGTACCATATGTCCTTTATTGTACCTCTGAAAATGTGTGTTCAAAATTTTATGAGAGGTTTTACCCACGGTTTCGCTCGCGTTGTTGTCCTACAATAAATGCGTGTCAAAGACCACATAAAACTAATGCTTTTATCCCCCGGGAACAGTATTTTTGTTCTGGACAAAAGGTACCTTATGTCTTTTTCTGTACCCGTAATAATGTGTGTACAAAATTTCACGATGATCGGTTGAGTTTAAGGCGTAAAAACGTAGCAAACTCATATTCCCATGTATAATATTAGCTCGGATAGCAGAACACAGACGAGAATTCGTTTAAAACACCCTTAAGACATAATCTACTTTTGATAAACGGTGGAAAGAACCAGAAGTTTGCCATGTTCTACACTATTGGTTGTACTTGATCATAATATACGATCGACATTACGATTTTAGAAGGTTTAACGTTATAAAAAAATGAAAGATTGTTTTCGACTCACCTATGATACCTATGATTGAGATCTGGAAGTTCCTGTTTGGGTCCTGGCGTGACGATGGCGGGATGGGATCCGAGAGGAGGTCCGTGCGGCGACAGGCCCGGATGCGGGGGTATCAGCCCCGTCGGTGAGAACCTGTACAGGTCTGTGGGTAAACTCGATGTCGATATCGGTAAAGTACTAGGGTAAGGACTACGGAAGCCCGTGCCCGGGGACAGGGGGTAGACGCTAGGTGTGTGCCTGAAAATTAGGCGATCGAATTATTCACAAAATTGTACGGCCCGATTCCGCACCAAGGGTCCCGTACCTTACCAAATACGCTATTAATTTAGAAAATAAAATAGAACTTCTTAAGAAACAACTTTTCTACGTTCGATTTTAATAGAATTCTAATTCATGAACCCTTTGGCAACGAAAAAAATCGGTTGTCTGTAAAGTCGGTTTACTGACAATAGTTGAACGTGACAACGTCATAAGAAAATACTGATGGAATGGTTTCACTTTTCAAAAGAAAATTTTAATTTTATTTGTTTGATAGATATTTTGTATGGATATAGAGAAGGAGGTAAATGGAAATGTATTATTGTATAGCAGCTGTCCNTCAACAAGATAGATACATATTATGATAATAAGAGCATTTTAAAATAAACTTAAAGATAATAATCATCTTAACACTTAATAATGTATATATGTTTAACGAAAACAAACGAATAATGCAATAATAATAAAGGAAACATAAAAAGGACAAAAGAGAGAGAGAGTGCAAGGACAATCAGAAAATGTGTCTATCTTTCCTTGGCGACAGTTGCCAATGCCCCTTTTTTGCAGATGTAACGATTGTATAAATGCAGCAGTGTCTAAGGTTTTTTTTTTCTTTCTTTTTTGGTTTTGGTGCAAAAACTAAGCTGGATATGGGTCCCTTTCTAAGTGGAGAGACACATTTTCTGATTCATTGACAAAACAAGTCCTCAGACTGACTACAGCGTCTCTCGTGTCGCGACGTAAACATCCAAATATAAAAAACAGTCTTTCCACATAGATAAGAAACACCAACTGACTATGTACAGGGGGTCTTAAAAAGGGAAAACAGTTTTATTTTGGTAGGAAGGAAAGAAATTGTGATTATGCATACAGTGAAAAATTTGTTTGAGTTGCTTTTCCACAGGAAATTTAGAATTTTTTTTGCCAAAATAATTATCCCGTATGTAAAAGTAACGCAAATTTCTTGACTTGACAATGACTTATTTTTTCCAATTTCTTTCCTGTTAATATCATTTTTTTTAATTAATTTAGTAAATTCCTGTTGTAAAACACCCTGTACATGCACATACTTGCCACACTAGTGTTATACCGGGAGAGCTAATTCGTTGCAAAAATAATAAATGCAAAGCTATAATAAATGAATTACTAATGGTGAAAAAACTGTGTACCTGTTCGTAAAGTTTAATGCAAGAGGTAACATCGTATCGAAGAAAAATTCATAGTTCAATACAATGGTCAAAAATTGCAGATTCGATGTTATTTCTTGCATTACCTGAATTAAGAAAATAATAATACGTTTACGTCATGCAAAATAGAATGACAAAAGAAAACTAGACACTTACCTGCATGGTTTGCACCATTGACTTTGTTGGTCTAAGCCGTACCTTGCCCTGCACTTCTTCATATTGTTACCTGTCAATTTTAATCAAAATATTAAAAAAATCCACTTATAAAAATAATGAAAATAATACTACTATACTTTTCTTTTCAAGGTTTCATAGGTTTTAGGATTAAAAAAGGTTAATTTATTTTGCCTTTCTCAAGAGTACCTAGATGAATCTCTAAAATCTACAACTATTTATCTAGCACTTATTTTTAATAAAGGCTAATAAATTATTGTAGAGTGTAAACAACTTGTTGAAACATTGAAAAGAATTCTTCTTTATTTTTACTTTTAATTTTACGTTATTTATATTTTTTTGTGAAAAATATTTTGTCATCTTTAACGAATAATATCGCTAAAATAGACATAAGCAGTTATTATTAATTTTGTGGGTTTCACTATAGACATTCACCTAAACATAATTATAAAGAAGCTTTAAACTTTAATCTTTAAGGAATATATTAATTGTAGTAACCACTTCACAAAAAATTGTAATACAGACCTGTCGTACTGATGAAAGGTCACCTCTGATGAACAGAATCACATAAAATACAAAATTTAATTCGCAGAAACTGAATATGTGGTTAGACAACCCAACATACTCTGGTGAAAGTTAAGACAACCATATGTAAATTAAACATATTCCTCAAAATAGAAAGTGAATATTACTGATTTATGAATTTACCAATAATTTCTAATTAAACAGATTAATTTACATACATTCTAAGAAATTTGTTTAAGTATTCTATTTATATTGCTAGTCCCAAAGTAATCAAATGACCAATATTTCATTTAACATTTGTATAAATGTTCTAAATTCTGATACTTTTTACTCTATTATTGTGATACCTAAGTTGTAAATTACTATGCATAAAATTTGTAAAAGAATTTTGCCTGTATACATTCATAAATCAGTCAATTAATCACTTTGCCTTTCATTAAAGTCTAATTGATTTTAATTATTGTTATCACTTACCCTTCTAGTTGTTTTATCCCCTGGTGCACTCAAGACATTGCCAATTCAATCTTGTTGATCCTTCCTCTATTGAATGATACCACATTGTCCGTTTCTACTACATCAAAAGGCCCTTTCTTGCTGCTTGTTCTTCTTTTTGAGACACTGCAGAAGTGAAAGAGGACTGATGAGATCAATGCCTGATGACATCCAATGTGCAGTACCCCAAATTTGTGTAAAGTTCCTGCAAAATGCTTCGTTATATAGTCTGTACAGTAGAGAACAAATTAAAATGCTAAAAAGTAAGAAATGCCAAGAGCCACAAAAGTTGTTATTACAAATGAACTTTCAGACACCAGACACACTTGCAGGTAATTTAAATAAATCGCATTGAGACCTTTTAGGTTAGAAACAAAAAACTGTAACCAATTTTTCAACCACCATCACCACATCAAGAAATTATTATCACAATTAACTTAAAAAAATTGCTTCTGACTTTTAATCATCAATATTTCTATTTTTTACAAAATATACTTGTGTATTTTTTAATAAAGAGAATAATTCACCTGCATAATACCTCTATCAACCACATACATATTTTCACCATAGACTTCCACTCCTCCACAGATATCACATTCATCACAGATAGCATGTTCATTGATATATAGATAACATAGGTATTCATTGATATGCTGACAGTTAATACACATATCTACATCTGTTAATTAATAAAAATTATTGAAAAACTTTTGAATTAATATAACTGTTAATTAAACAGTCTAAATAGTAATCGAACAAACGATACTAAAACGTAAAATGTTAAAATTCGAAAAGCTG